ACATTTAACAATTAAAATTATTTAATAATAATATGTAAGTAAGTATGCACCTATGTAACTAATTTTAATTAATTTATCTATGATTGAATTATGTAAAAACAACACTGAGTGTATTCAATATTCGTGTTAAAACAATCGATAGAAATTACCAGCAAGAAATATGTGTGCCATGTATCTGTCTTGTAATACGATTTTTTGAACACTAGTTATATGTCTCTGTATACACGTAAATGTAAATTAAATATGTTTTATTGATTTCAATTATATTAATACAATACTCGTGTTCTCATAAGTATATGCATAAACACGTATTAATACAGTTTGATAAATATAAACAGCATTTAAGCTTAGCTAGTAAGAAATAAAAGAAAGAAACAAATTGTGCACTTTACACTTTACGGGTTTTAATTTTTTCACGCAGATATAAAACTCAACGGTTCTTAAAATTAATACATCTATACATTTTTGAACTTGCAATTCCCTAAAATTAAATTATTAAAACCTAATTATAATGTATGAATATTTTTTAATACGAAAATCATAATACTTTATTGCAGCACTCTGACTCTTTGTGATATTACACGAATTGTACATAACAGGACCCCGTATATTCGTTAAACTTTAATCGGTTTATTCCAATGTTAAATTTTTCGTGCACTGTCTATTTTTAAGCATACCTTTTAGTTATAACCATAATTTTAATGATATACAAAATACGTGTGTACAGATACCTAATGGAATACCTAATGATGGTGGTGATTCACTTAGCAAAGAATTTCGTTATGCAATTCCAACCGTTTCCGTTTCACGAATATGTATTATTATTGCTCGTTTATAGAGGCCAATCAATAAGTATGAATGTGTATCAAATCCTATACATCGATTTACAACGATTATTCGAGTAAAAAATGATCTATTGTAAAAAATAAATGAAACGTTCGATATTCGTATTAACAGGGGTGGTAGGATGGGAATTTGTCTCAGCAAAATATGGTGTGAGTTTCAGTATAACTTGATATTTGAAAATAAAAATACTAATTGATATGGCACAATAATATGTTATTAGGTTTTCAATGTTTATAGAATAAGAGTGCATATAATATTGACATTACTCGAATTATTGCATGGGAGGATCCAGGGGGGCACTGGGGGCAAGTGCCACTCCCGTTGGAAAGTATTATATTAAAAATAAAGTATATCCAGAAGAATTAAATAATAGATAAGAAAAATAAACGTTGACAATATTATCACATTTTTTATTTGGGTGGAAGTGGGGGGGGTTGTCTAAAGCCTGTAAATAAATAATAAAAACGCATCAACCGCATAACAGATATCACATTTTGCCTACTATACCGATGTATAAGTATTGTACAACCATCCATGTATTCCTTGGTAATCTCGTCATCTCTTCAAAATCAACCGACGGAAACGTTGTTGGTGTGCGTTTACTCTGTAAAAAACGAGCGTTAAAACATAAATAAAGATCGTAAATCTTTTCAAAAACTATATTAACACCATATATTATTACTGTTGGAAATTATTCGAATATGTGTATGTAACGACGAGCTGTAATAGCGACGAACGTGTATATTACACTATTTTAGTAATAAGTATGGGAAAACAACTAATGATAAAATACTGTGTAGTGCGAGGTCTCCATAAATAATATTTAAACAAGGATTATGTAGTATATTAAAGAAAGAGAAGTTAAGCCAATGGTTCCCAACCTCTTATATTCTACGCCCACTTAGTAGTAGACTTTTAAAAATCTCGCATCCCATTCTCCTATAAATTTTAAAAAAATCAATCACCATTTCTGCGTACTTAGTAGCTTTTGTTTTGTTTTGTTTAGTAGTTCTTTTGTTTTGTGAAATTTGGTCTTATCTAGAAGTGTGAGATTTCGGTGGTGCACTAGCACGTAAAAACGAGAGGTTAATGATTAGTTTGGAAATCGGGTCAGTCCAAAAGTCTTTAAATGTTAATATTTCGTTTCGCTTATTGGTTCGATGCACATGCATGTGTGCAACGACTTAAAGTGTGTCTCGGGCGCACATCCAATGACCGCCTCTAATGCAAAATAAGTGAAGTTAATCATTATTAATAATAATGATTAACTTGTAAGTTAATGCACTAAAAAACGCATAAATAAGCATGCAATAATGCACTAACATTTGATCAAATATGCATTAGAAATCTTTAATTATGCACGAAAAAAAATGTATAAGCATTTTTTAAAATAATAAGAATTATCCATTCATATTTTTTCTACGGTTACATTTTATTAAAATTATAATTAATGATCACATGTTGCGACGAAAATAGTTAGATTGCAATAGGTACGTCAATAGGAGGAGAGTAGTAGTGGCACGCAATAACATTGTTTTCATGGTACTGATTTTAAATTATAAAATTGAATGTCATAAAAAAATAAAAATATTGATAAAATACTATGATTTTATAAACAAGTTCGGTAAAGTAAATAAGAATGAATTCAAACATTTATTGATCTAATTTTTTTTTTGACTTCCACAAAAAACGATTTCGCTGAATTTACATAAAATAATATGCGCTAATAACTCAAAACAATCAACTATATGCCAAATATGCCAATACACACAAAACATGCAAAAGCATGGTCTATTAAACTTTAGAATTTTATTACCATTATTGTGAAACGGATTTTTATCTCAATTAGCATATTTTCTGATGTAGCAAAGAAAACATGCAAATGCATGAACTTATGAGCCCTGATTATTATGATACAAAATGAAATACTATTAAAAAAAAAAAAAAAAAAAAAAATGTAAACCTTCGAGTTAATTATAATTATGTAGAATAATGTATTATGAATAATTGAATAACAAATAACTAATAAATGAATATAATATAATAAATACATCATTAGTGGGTTCAAAAATTTTATTTTTTTTTTGGGAGGGGGTTGAAAAATGTTTTGTCATGGGATATTCTTTATAACATTGCAGTGATTGATAATGAATTAAGATAATAGTAAGTAATATAATACATTAATTTAAATCTAAGGATACTAATTTCATGTATGAATAAAAATACAAATTATATACTTACCTTTTTACTTTTAAAAAAAAAATCTTTTTCTTAATTCGTTAAATTATTGATTTTTAATATAATTTTTTTTTGATTTAGGGGGGGGTTAACCTTCCCCACCGGGTGTATCCACCACTGTAAATAATAAAAAAGTTCTTAAAAGCTAGTAAATCTTAAACTAGTCTTTTTTCCATTATGGACATCATTTTTTCTTTATGTAATTAATTATTTAAACATAAGTATTAATAAATTAAAATTAAGCCGTAATGCTTTAACACGAATCTTTAAATATGGAAATATATATTCATTATATATTGCATTAATCGTATTTTATATAGAACTTTAGAGCTAAGTTCAAATGTAATTAATATAAAAAATATACGAATATATATACATGCAAAGAATATAGACTTTGACCGATAAAAATAATTAAAAAGAAAAATGTTTATTAACCTTGTTTTAACAAGAATTGTAGATTGCTTTTATAAAAATAAAGATTTTGATAACCGTCGGCAAGATTGATATTATATTTGTTGCAGCTGTAATTTTATAAAAAAAAGGAGAGGAATTCTTAAATGCGTTGAAATCAGAATTCATTATGCATATCGATCGATAGTTACCACTTGGTACTTGATCACAGTCACTTATGTAATCTGTGTTAAGTAGGAAAATATTGTCTCCAGCGAAGTTTTATAATAGTTTTTAAAAAATTAAGATGCAGTTTTTTTTTATTTTATTCTTGACTACGACATTTATCGTTATGACGGCCGTTTGCGACGACTCGAAACATTTACAAGAATCGACCTATAGAAATCAATTACACAAGGCAATCGCTAAATTTCCGAGGCTTCATAGCGAAACGATTTGGAGTGGGAGCCGTCAGCAAAATCACAACAATGGTAAGTCGACCGTCAAGGCGAAAATGATTTCGAAAAAGATTTTAACACTTAATAGGACACCAAGCTATAAAGAGGTGCCTTTGAGAATGGATAATATATTTCAAAAATACTTTAACGATTTCAATATAACAAATGCAATATTAATCAAGCCTCGAGTATTACGTTGCCCTTATGGATTTATTCGTAATAACAAAAACGAATGCTTTGGTTGGTATTCGGTTTATGTATGAGTATAAGGAATCATACATTCAAGACTAATAATAAGAAACGCACGAAAGTAATTCTGTATTTGTACATTATCCATCCATGGTGAATAGTAATAGTTTAAGAAATATATAATGGATAATCTATGTTTATAAAATTTAAGTTTTGTTATATTATGTTTATAGAAAAGCATAAATGAATAGATAGTTTAGATTTTATTAATTATTTTGTAATTAAAAGTTGAATGATAATATAAATAAATATATTCAAATAAATACGAGTAATTTGTTATTCATCAGGGCTTGCTACCAGTGTCGTAACTAGGGTGGAGAAAAGTATGCGAAAATATTGGCAAATTAAGAGTAAAATAATTTGGAAAAAACTCCTATTATTACATTAAAATCACTATAGTTGAGTCTCATCAGTTCACCAAATGTTAAATTAATGGTTGGAACGGCTCTGCTTGTTACTTATCGTTCGATTGTTATAGTGTTTAAACTAGGCCATAATGATTAAAAAAAAATAATGTCTTAGTTAAACAATATATTGTTTAACCAAGACATTATTTTTTTTATTATAATACTTATATGTATAGTTTCTATAGGAGACCAAACAATTTTAAAGTGATTAAACTAATAATTGTAGAAGGCATTGTTTATAACAGTGTAAACTGGACAGTGAAAATTATTGTTCAAAACCGAAATTTCTTGATTTACTATGGCAAATGAGAACGCACAAGTTAACCTTACCGAAAGCCGGAATGGGTTGTCCGAAGAGTCGTCCACCGACCTTGCCGGACGTTCGGTAATCGACGATCATGGGTTTGCCGGATCAAGCGCAGACGTGCCTGGCGACAGTTGCGGTCGGCGTCGGCGTCGGCGTCGGCGCAGTTCGTGCGGCAGTAGATCGCGGAGCCGATCGGTCGGTCGCCGCAAGAGGAGTCGAAGCGGATGCCGGTCCAGGAGGCGTTGTAGCTCCTCGGTGACATGCTCTATGTCCAGACGCCGCCGTCGCAGCAGTAGATCGAGATCCTGCGCACCGAAACGCCGACGGAGCCGAAGCTCCTGTGCACCAAAACGCCGTCGTAGCCGGACTTCCTGCGTAACGAAACGACGTCGCAGCCGGACTTCTTGCGCAACGAAAAGACGTCGCAGCCGAAGCTCCTGTGCACCAAAACGCCGTCGTAGCCGAAGCTCCTGTGCACCAAAACGCCGTCGTAGCCGGTCTTCCTGTGTAACGAAACGACGTCGCCGCCGGAGTTCCTGCACGCCAAAACGTCGACAGAAACATTCGTGCCCGACCAATCGCTGCGAACTGATTTCGGCCGGGACGGTCAGAGGAGAAACTGACGATAACCGTGGTGTGGCCTCGGGATCATACCGGTCCAACGATGTGGCGGCGGCCGGAACTAGTGGTGCACGAAGCGGGTCGCGTGGCCGCCGTCGTTCACCCCAGTCGCCCGCAAGCTCGTCGACGACGACGGACCGTCGCGATGGCTGCAGGTCTCGGGTGGTGGTCGCCCAAACCCCCGGGGCTCGATGGCAGTCCGATACCAGACGGAAGAAACGATAAAATGGTTTATGTAAAGCGGTAACGTTGACGCACCGTATTAGAAGTAAATAATTATATTTAAAATATTGTAATACGAGGCATGTGTTTAAAGTAAGGCAGGCCCAGTTCATGGGGTAGGTGACATAGGCCCACGCCTAGGGCGGGATTTTTCCTGGAAAATTTGTATGTATAAAAAAAAATATTTGATAAAATATTTAAGGGGTGACAAAAACTAAATTTCGCCTATGTTTGTTTAAACACTTGAGCCGGGTTACCCTCCACCAATCGAAACCTGGCGGAGCTCATTAGGACGCTCAGTCTCGACGTGGCTGCCGTTTGCGATGGTTGTCGCTCCAGCCAGGTGCGAGTTACATTCAGTCATTAAGTTTTTGCACGCAAAAAAAACTCCACCTATAGAAATTCATCATCAATTGAAAGAAGTGTATGGTGAGAATGTATGGAATGTGAAAAACGTTCGAAAATGGTGTAGAGAATTTTCTGCTGGCCGCCTAAGCGTCCACGACGAGGAGCGCAGTGGCAGGCCGTCACTAGGACGAAACAATGCAGAAAGTTGAGGAGCTTGTGCTGAAAGATCACAGTTTGACTCTAAATGAGACCAAAATTGAATGAATAGAGTCTCTACTGCACACTTCTTGAAGTTTTTCGGCCAACTCACGTTTTTCACATCCATACGTTTCTCACCATACACTTCTTCCAATTGACGATAATTTCTATAGGTGGGATTTTTTTTTTGCGAGCAAAAACTTAATGACTGAACGTAACTCGCACCTAACGGGAGGGACAACCGGTACCTCCATTGCAAACGGCTGCCACACGTATACAACTTGCGACGATACGTTGGTGTGGAGACCTTACTTTAAATATACGCCTCTTACTATTGGAGAACTTTTTGGTTTACCGGTTCAATTTGTAACTAGAATTATATCTCAAACGACTTACTCGAAATATAATAGAAAATATTTAATACTGAAATGGAAATTTCAAGTGCCCGGAAAAACTTTCAATTTTAAATGTCTTCTTTTATATTTCGAGTACGTTGTTCGAGATATAATTCTAGTTTCGAACTGGAACGGTAAACCAGAAAGTTCTCCAATAGTATTATAACATTTTAAATATAATTATTTACTTCTAAAAAAAAAATAATATAAACAAAATTGCTGTTAATTTCTAACCTAGTATTTTATTTGAATTGAAATAAGGTGTTAAAAAAAAATACAATTAGTTGTGTATAAGATACATTTTTAAATTTGTTGGTTGAAATCGGTCTTCATTATTACATTTGCCCGAACCGATGTGATAATTTTTTTATAAAATCATGTAATTTTAATTTAAATATAATATATATATATGATATAAGTTATTATATAATTGAATCAATTAAAATTTGTAGTTATAGTTATAAATATAAGGCGTTTGACGAGTTTGAAATCAGAAAAACTTGAATGAAACAGGATAGCGGAGATTTTACATTTCTTATTAAAGCACCCACTTAGTTTTAATGCAATCTACCCAGAAATATCAACACATCATCAAATCAAAAAGTTTCAATACTTAATTATTAATTATTACAAGCAGTTTTTAATGCGCATTTATATATATATTCGTAAACAAGTAGTTTTTAATGAGCAAATATATACATCGCATTATTATTTATTGGTAGGTTCAAATTGTTCACGCAATCAATAACTTTCAAACGACCTAGAGGCAAAAATAAAAGTATGACCAGAGCACAATACATTGTATTGTTTTAATGAAAAATCATACTATTTATAAAAAAAAAATAAACCATTTTAAAAGTCGCAGTACTGTTTAAGTTAATAAAATATATTTTTAAAAGCGAATAAATCTTTAAAAACCGCCGACGATTCTTTTTGCCATATGAATATAATTACTTATGTATATTGTATCCTAGATGGTCCTTAGTTATAGGTGCAAAAAAAAGGAAAAATATTTTTGATTTTGCACCCCCTCATTTTGTTCATTATAATAAGAAAGCAGTTTGAGTTAAATTTGGTCATGATTACTAGTACTCTTTACGTGCCCCAAGGGGGTTGAATAATTGCAAAATAGGGTTAATTTGTCGTTTTTTTTTTTTTTAATATAATTAATGAATTATAAAATTAATATCATAAAATATAACTTAAGTTATATAAATTTATATTTTTAATAAAAAACATGTCTATAAAATTTTTCATAGATCTATTATTTCTTAGGAAAATTATAAAATATTTTATTTATTTTAAAAAATTGATTATTTTATGGTTTCTTATGTATATTAGGATAACGGTTGATGATACATCAAAATATCCTAAATAAAAATGACAGAAAACTAAATATTCTAAAAAACAGTTAACAAATATAAATCGCATTGGATTGTTTTATTGTAAGAGTCATGTAAACGTTTTTTAGTATTTTATAGTTAAGATTAGATAATGATTTAATACACAAACATAACACTTAGTTCATTTGATACAAGACATTGTCATTCCTTTATAACTAGATAAGATAATTTAATGAATTATTGTTGCTGTTATGATAAATCTATTTTTATGTTCAATAATCAATTTAATTAATTAAAATCAACGGTTTTTATTTTAGGCCGAATTGAAGGTACGTTTGTTTTATCTGAACAATGGTTAGAAAAAACATATATTTTTCTTGTTGCCATTATACATACGTAATTATCTTAAGATTATATTTGACGTAAAATTTAATGCAGCTTCCAGTCCAAATGTGTCCATATTTCAACGTTCTCAAAATGTTTGGACAAAAATAAATAGTCAAAATTATAAATCCGGTATCGACGACCTATTTACTTGTGTAAAATTACAAAATTTTATTGAAAACATTTTAGAGTTTTGATTACATAAATTAAAACTAACTCATTTTAAAGAAGATTATAAGGTATTTTTTGAGACCGCTATTCTTATATTTTCATCTTAGATTCACGATTTATATAATTAGTTTATACATCAAAGTCTGATTTAATGCACCAATTGCTACTTATTCCCCTTGACAAGATTTAGAATTTTTAAAAAATATCTACGAATACATAACTATAAATAAAGAAATATCTAAAAAATATTTGTAAAAATTTTGTAAACTATTTATGGTATTTAACATCAAAAAATATTGCTCTAGCATTTTTTTGATAAATATATACCTTACGATATAAAAATTAAAATGGCACACAATATTAAAAAAGTTGACCTTAAAATATAGATTGAGATGATAAATGATAAATAAACATATAGTTTTAAAAATCAATGAAGTAGCAGATTTTATAAAAAACTATTAGATAGAAAATTGATCAAGAAAAACTTTAAATTATTTTGAACGATTTAGTATCAATTATAGTTTTCTAGAAACAGACCCATCTATCTACGTGCGAAATAAACTTAAATTATTGCAAAGGTCTAGAAAAAGATAAAAATGTAAATGTTGTGAATAATACTGCAGAATGTGCAGTCAAGTTAGTGGAGTACTTTAAATATAGGATCTAAAATCGAAGACCAAAAATAATATATGTTATAAGTTGTTGCACAATATCAACGATAATTCCCCAACAGCAAACAAGTTACACTAATAGATGAATGTATTTACATTATATTTTATATAAGTTTTCTATTTATAATTTTGACAACTTTTCAGATCCGGATTAAGGCGTAAGCAGTGTAAGCTGCAGCTTACACAACCATGAATTTAAGAGCACCGCATACTGTCCTGATGGGCATGTACTTTTTCCGCCAAAAACTTGGTTCCTAGATTTACGCACAGCCCTATATAAAAATATAAAAAGGTATGATTCCCGTTTCCGTCAAATTTTATTTTTTTTGTTCAGACGTTTAGAAACCATGTACAATTGTTACATATTCTTTCATTATAAATTTTAATATAAGTAGATAATAATAATATATTAGTCGAATATAGGTACAATTATATTGGAGTTTTTAAAGTATCACATAATTTCATATTATAAAATGTCCATTCTATTTAACTATTTATAAAGTAAAAAAACAAGGATAGCCAATATTGTCTCGATAGAGTTTTGAAAAAATACATATCGTCATTTTTAAATATTTAAAAAAGTCACAAAAAATATAAATTATTATACGAGTATATTTCAAGTTTTAAAAAATTTTAAAAAACATCTCCACCGAGTTACATTTGTTTGTGACGTATAACCAAAAAACATATTTAAACCCATCAAAAATCAACATTTTTTTACCTCTTTTACTTATAATAAATTCCATTTTAAGTACGGTAAGTAAAAACGTTCATGTGTTCTGGTGACAAAAAGAATGATACTGAATGGAAATATAAGAATTTAACATTTATCAGATAATTATTGTGTGCGAATTATAAATAAACTATGATACAGTATATCGAACAGTGTACCGTTACTATTAACCGTTATTATCGACGATTATCAGTGTATACATTACAAATGTCTTTTACACATAACAAAATATATATTCAATATTACTTAAAAATTAAAACCAATGGTTTCCAAATTTTTTTTTGGTGGAAATGGCTTTTGGCGAAAATGGGAATCGTACCTTTTTCGTTTTTGGCGGAAACGGTCAATATTATTTTGGCGGAAATGGGAAACTCCCATTTTTATTAAAATACTTAAAAAAAAAAATCTTTTTCTTAATTTATAAAATTATTGATTTTTAATATATTTATTTTTCCACATTTTCGGTGGGAGGGCTAAC